TATATTGCAGTATATCTTTATGAATTAATATTTTTACAGTGAGATCTCTGTGATTGGTAGCTTGTTATGGTCATTTCTAACCCAGATTTTCAGTCTCTGAGTCCTGAAGGTCAGTGTCCATTCAGTCTTTAATGACCTCTGCTTATTAGTTTTCTTAGTGAGTCCTGCTTTTATATTAATTGAATTTCAGCAGTTCTTCTGCTGTTTTATCATCACACCATCAGCTCAGTTCCTGAACTTACCCAGATGTTTCTCCACCATTTCCTCAGTCTCATCCAGATGAATGTCCATCAGCTCCTGGATGGCCTCGGCCTCGACTTCAGCAGCCGTCATGTTCAGCTTCTCACTCTCTGTTTTCACAGGAATAGATACTGTCAGATCTCCAGCTTTGACATTTTCATGATATCAGTTATTAATGACTATTAATGACTTAATGATTTTCCATTTTCAAGGGTTGTTTTATGAAATATATTGATAGTAGTTGTGGAACTTTAGTGATATTGATAATTGCATGTTTATGTGGATGTTTGGTGGTCAGTGCTGGACTAATTCATCTCAGCATTATTATCAGTGGTTTTTATTCCTGTTATTAGTTCTGTTTTCTATTTTGGCAGATATTAATGTCCATTTCTTACCCAGAGGTTGGATGTTAGCTGTGTCTTTCTCATCCAGGTCAGTGGACATTAGTGGTTTTATGGCTTCGGCCTCGGCTTCAGCCTCAGTCTGATCCAGTGAATATTCCGTTAAATCCCTGCTGGATTCAGGAATGTCTTCGCTGGTTTTCAGGTCCTCATGTAGAGGAGCTCCCGTCTTCTCCATCATCACAGAGGAAATAGTCTCCAAGCTGAGAGACACCAGACCTGCTGGGACGTGTGGAGCATGGCTCTCCTCCTCTCCCGCTGCTGGCTGTTGTCTTGCTTGGCTTTCCTCTGCTCTTTGTACTTCCTTTATCTTTTCTTTTCTCTGTTGTCCCTTCGTTTTTCTTGTTCTCCACTTTTTCTTCTTCTTGTTTTTGCCACCGTCTTTCTTCACTTCATCTCCATTCGCCTTATTCTCTGTGTCCGAGTCGGACTGTTGGCCTCCGCAACACCAGAACAAGAGGCAGCTCATTGTGCTGCTGGTCTTCTCTGGCGCCTCAACACAGAATGATCTGAAGTGGCAGTTTGTGTGGAATTTATCTGCATCATAGACATTATGACATCACAGTGTTATGATGTCATAAAGAGAACATTCAACTCTGTAGGTGCTGCAGTTAAATAAATGTGAATAAATGTAAAAATGGCGTTTGTGTGTTAAATTCTAGAGTTTTTTCTCAACATCTTAACATTCAAAGCTTATTACATACTAAGGCTTATTATTCAGTGACTTTAGGGACTTCAATGCACACTAATGGGGCTTTTTTTAGGTTATACTAGTCTGTAATGAATACAAAAACTCTCACATTATAAATTTCCTTGAGAAAAAAGAATTTCAAATCAGCCCATATAACCATGCACAATTTCAAAGCTGTGCACCAGTTAATGTTTAAATTTATGAATTGTTAAAGTTTGGCCTGTTAGGATCTAAATGTACAGACTTTACCTGCTTATAGAATGAATGAGCTTTTAACTATAAAAATGTAGCACCTAATAAGGAAAACATTCAACCTAATAGAGCAAAGAAATATATTCCCTAAAACACTAATTATTGCCCTGTTTTGAAAATTTCCATTTTGCATGAATACATTTTTATATTTTTTTATCAAAATCCATAATGTCACTGGACAAAGCCTCTGTGAGTTAAATGAGACATACAGTAAAGCAGTGCTTACAGTTTTAGGCAAAGTAGTCGGGTGCTGCAAAAATAAGAACATACTGGAGGATGAATGAACAGCCTGCTGTTAATGTGGTTGAGGATGATTATAGTTTTGCAGTGTGTTCATCCACATTATGCTTTAAAAATAAAAAGCAGTAAAATCGTATCTGACTACTTTTATATCTTACCTTGGTTTATACTTTATTTGTTGCTCCCTGATGCAGACAGGCTGTCGGAAGAAAACTTATCTCCATTTTTGTTGTTTTTCAGTTGTTGACATATTTTTGAAAATGCCTGTTACCCTTTACATTGATTAGAAATTTCATGATGAATGGACCAATGGAAATGATCCAAAATTACTTGGAAAGAAGTCTGATTCCATTGACTTACATTAAAAGAAAAGTAGTTTTTTTCTTCTCCTGTAAAGTTATCATTCTGGTTACACTGACAACAGCGATAAGTTATTTGAAACAAGTGAGGATCTGATTTAGATGCATTTTTTCAATAAATCATACATTATTTTTTTTTATCCTGGCATGATGTAAAGCCCGAGCCACATAGTATACGTTGCATTCATTGTTTGGTGATGCTATATAGTTCTAGATAGTGCTAGGAAAATATATATATATATATATATATATATATATATATATATATATATATATATATATATATATATATATATATATATATATGCATATAAATTGATCATTAACTCATTTTTTCTTTGCAAAAGTGGAATCTACACAACCAGAAAGAGAGCATGAGACACCTTCAAGTTCAGGGAGAGCTCCTGGTACAGTGGTACATACATTATTTTTACCTAATGATTACTTACTTTAATTGCTTACTTTCTAAGGTAGGAAAGTCTCTTAGCTTGGCAAAGTAATGAATGTCATAGATTATAGATTAAGTAATTAATGCACCTTTATCTTGCATGTAAAGCAATAAGATCACCATGCTGTTAGTAACTTGCATATATGTACAGAAATGTGTATAAAGCATAGTAACCTGTGTTCTCAGCCTGTTAAAAGTTGGGTTCTTAGAGAGCTTTAAAACTTCATATACCCAAGTATTTTAAGTACTGTGTGATCAAAGCATTACTTACACCATGAATTATGTGTATCAAAAATCTGCAACAGTTTAGGTGACTGAGCTGGTAATTTAGGAGTGGGCAGTTATGGAGGGTATTTTTTATCTAAAACATGCACATAAAAACCCATACTAAACACCTATTCATGCAGATACAGTAGCTGTGAGTATGTGTGAGTCCTGAGTCCTGCCATGATTACCTGCCTGAACAACTGTCCCAGTCCGACCCTGGCTATGCCTGACATGGGTGTAATCAAGGAGTCTCGCAGTGACTGGTGTAGTCCTATGGCGCTTGTCCCGAAGCCCAACAGGACTGTTCCATTCTGTGTGGACTGTAAAGTCAATTCGGTGTCTAAATTCAGTGCCTACCCAGTGCCACGTATTGATGGGATGCTCGTTCGGTTAGGAGCTGCTCGTTTTTACCCAACACTGGATTTAACCAAGGGATAGTGTCAGATCCCATTGACTCCAGTATCCTGGGAAAAAACAGCTTTCTCCACACCATTTGAATTACACCAATTTGTCATACTCCCATTTGGATTGTTTGGAGCCCTGGCTATATTTCATGAACGGAATTCTCTCACTTACTTGGACGACATAATTATCTATAGCAACGATTGGCAACATTTGAAGGTCGTCCTCAAGTCACTGAGATGGTCTGGACAGGCTGAAATTATGCGATTGGATGGTAAGAGGTAGAGTATCTGGGCCTCCACTTGGGTCATGGACAGGTGCGTGCCCAAATAGATAAGACTGCAGCAATTGTGGCCTGCGCGAGATCCAAGACCAAATAGGAGGTGAGACACTTACTATTATCTTAGGTTTGGACCTAATTATTTGGATGTCACCAGTCCACTGACTGATCTCACTAAAAAGGGAGCACCAGAACCAGGACCAGAGGATGGAGCCAACAGGCTTTTAACCAGATTAAAGCAGTCCTCTATGCCGGACGACTGCTCGGCCTGAGTGGGCCGGTGGGCGTATGTAAAGTGGGGGGTGTGGTCGAGAGTTTCTTGCAGGATAAAGAGCTAGTCACATTGAACCGGCAGGCTGAGTAGCTGATGATGTTCACCTGTGTGTTGTTTCTGCCAGGCTTTTTATAGCCATGTATTTTCTCGGTAGGCTGGCAGAGACCAGAGGGAGACACTGAGCGAGCTGAGCAGAATCAAGGCTGAAAAGCCACTGAAGCAGTTTTTGTTTAGTTGTACGAGCTGAAAAGCTTAAGCGTTTGTGTTGTGGAATAAAAAGAAAGCTCTGTGTCTCTATAACCTGTTCCCAGTGTCCTCATTCATCCCAGCAGATCAAAATGTTTTTAACCATTAGAGGCTTTAAGCAAAAAACATATTTTGCATTACAAATATAAAATAAAAACACTAAGAAATGAAAATTTAGATGCAATTAAGTTTCATTTATTTTCATTACATGCTGTGGAAACGATAATGAAACATCAAATGAAGTCTTGATCAAAGTTACACATAAAAGGTTGATGTATTAGTTAGCATAGACACATTTTATAATATTTAATTACACCTCTGTAAACGATCTAAATCTAAAGCCCAACGAATATACAGCTTTAAGTGTCTCAGTCCAAATGAGAAAGTTCAAGTATTACTGCCAGACTTCTGTTGACTGTGGTCACCAGTTATCTTGGTAGGTATTCTAATTGAAGTCGGACAAATTAGTAGAAATTTCATAGCTTCTGTTACAATTTGTCTTCAACATCATCTGGATTCACATGCTGAATTCATATGCTGAACAAGTGGAATCATCTTCAGCCTTGGTCTTGTCTGAGCTTGTTTTCCTCTTATCATCATCTACATCTTTGGATTGTACAGTACTGAAAAATGAGTTGATTGAACATGAGGATCCACTGCAATTTGATACACTGTACACCCCTGCAAAGGACAAGCTCAGGTTAGTGGCGCATTATAATGTAATATACACAGAAATTATATTGCAAATAGCCTACATAACATGGAAAGGACCTGAAAGAGACATTGTATGAATGTAATATGAAAATCTGATATCTTCTACATTACTGATGACATAAATGTTACTTGAAAGGGCTGAAAGCTTACTTAAGTGTTTGTAAATGGTGTTAAGGACTTTTTGTTCATGAAAATATTGCTTGCATCGGAAAGATCCTATTTTCTGAGAATTCCTGGAAGTTCTCAGCAATACTGTTTTCTTTTAGCATAGAGTGTCCGTACTTGGGAACCACAGATCCTTTAGCTTTATTAACGCAAACCTAAATATAATCTGCTCTGAATGTGGTTACATTTGTGATTGTGTGATTAATTTCTTAGTTTTATGTTATAAACTACTGCAAAAGCACTTTTAAATCCTCTAGCTTACTGTAGAGTGGATGGTAATAGGAGGCTGTGTAAAAGTGGGCTGTGCTCAGGGTAACTACTGCGGCCTGCAGAGTTGGCAGGTTTGCCGGTTTTTACCAGAGGTAAAGCTTCAGTGTCATTACACTGGCTGAGTATATGGAGTCTGGGCGTCCAGTTCATCCAGTTTAAAGAAGTAAATTATACTAATTACATCAGCACATTGATCTCTGGCCATCCTCCTGTTTCTTGCAACAAGGAAAGCACCAACTGCCAGATCTGTTACTAGCATCGCGTTGAGTGATGGGGGGAGACTGGGTGGGGGGGCATCCTACCCACCCAGAGAGAACAAGGCCAATTGTGTTCTCTTGGACTCCCGGCCACGGACAGCTGTAGAATCACCAGTGATCGAACTTGCAATCTCCTGATTATGGGGCCACTTAGATGGTTGCGCTACTCGGGACAGCAGACTACTTTTAAGTGTGGTTTCTTTCTGTAGGCTGAGAAGAGAAACAGCAACTCAGTGCAGAGCCAGCTGACAAGAGACAAGCTAAAATGTTTGAGCCTGAAGCTCAAGTTTTGTTTTGTATGAGAGAATAATAATTAGAAAAGTTTGACATTTAAGTACTCCTGCCCCCGAATCCTTCCTCAGAAAACCACGGATATACCTTAGCATGGCATGACTGCAACAAGATGGATGTGATCAAAGAAAAACAAGCCATTAGCGTAAATACTCCCAACAGAAGACTGGATATCCTGAAGAAACACTATCCATATGGTCACCAGGAGTTGAAATCGACTTAATAATAATATAGACAAATGCAATGAAGGCATGCAATTTTACAGGTTCAGTATTGGCTTGAAGCTTTGTTGAACCCTTAAAATCCCAGGCTTTTTACATACTAAGGCTTATCATTCAGTAACTACAGGGGCTCCGATACTAACTTGCTGAGCTATTCTTAGGTTACACCTAAGAAGTGTGTAATAAAACTTTGGGCCTACCGGTGGGCCCTGGCCATTTAAGGGGTTAACATGCACAGTTCAGCAGACCTCATGTTCAAATAAGACATATATACCAAAAGTTAACATCTTCCTACCTGTTAACTAGAAATCTTCAGCTCAGAATGGAGGGTCAATGTGTTTTTTATTTAGAGCTAAATAGCAATTACTATATACTATCATATTAAATACATTAATACTTTTTGACATTAAGCAAATAATTTCAATTCTTTTTCTTTTTCTTGTAATTCTTCTTCTTCTTCTAATTCTATTCTTCTTGTAATTCTTCTTTTTTTATAATTCTATTCTTCTTGTAATTCTTCTTCTTCTAATTCTATTCTTCTTGTAATTCTTCTTATTGTTGTTGTTGTTGTTGTTGTTGTTGTTCACATTATAATATTTGAGCTTAAAACTTGCAGCAGTGACTTAAACTAACTAATCCTTCTTAAAAAATGAATACAATGGGTTAAATGTTCATTTATGGCAAGTTTCCATGATACTTTAGACAAGAAGTGTTGTAGGAAACATTTGTTAATTAATGTATGTTCTGAAGTTAATGAAATACTTAGCGTTATGAAGATTTGGCTAAACGCACCCCGGCACTAATCCTGGTTCTCTACACTGCAGCTGATTACACTGTTTTTTTGTCTTTTACTGCAATTAATATTGCTTTGCAACAAGTGCTTCAATATGGTTATGTTTTAGCTTCACCTGCAAATTTAAACACTTAATTGCAAGACTGCTGTTATTACACTCCCCTAAAACACCAACCTCTGATCTTTATAAACACAATGGGGATAAAAAAAATCATAAATAATAATAAAAAATTATTAACAACACTCAATATTTTTAACACCGTAAAATTTGCTGTATACTAGTTTCCTTCTTTCTGGAATGGGAATAAAGCAGTTGTACTTTGTCTCCACTCCACTACACCATAGCTATCAAGATATGGTGTAGTTTTATGTAACTGCGCTGTTATCAACCTGAGCATTCGGCCCATCCTTTGTTAGACCTTACAGACTCATTAGATTATTTAAGAAAAATGTCTATACCCTTCTATCCAAAGGAAAAGTGAAAGTATACCATTTACAATTATATCACTGTTTCAGCAGTAAAAACATCTCAATTATTAAATATTCCTTTAACTCCTCAGGGACTAACTGCCCCATTTTGCTGGCTGTTTAAGAGAATTACAGTAATAACAGCCTTCGGGCAAAGGAGGATCAATAGTCGTTGTGGTTGTCAGTTCAGATACTTACTGTTTAGACGTGACCTTCCAATGAAGTCCAGTCCAATAGAAGACGATGGCTCTGCATCAGTGCTCTGTAACTAAAGAGAGAAGAAAAAAGAAAAGAATAACAGGGACACACTGTCGATGCAAAGCACCATCTCATGAAGCAACTGTGTCAATTAACTAATTGTGTCAGTGTTGCCAGAGAATCACAGAATGGGGGCGGGGTCATCTATGAATAGCGTTGGGCATGTGTGACTGAAGTGGAGTACCATGATATGGGGTGGACCTTACCCTGCTGCGGCTAGAGCTAATATTGTTTAGTCTCAGCTTTACTGCCAGTGCCTCACGGACCTGTGATCATAAAACAAATAACCTTAAAATCATGTGTATTTTGAAAATGTACTTAGTATTTCGACAAGCTCCTCACTAGTTCAGCAAATGAGCTTATCAAAGCCTGCTCAGAATACATACCTTTCTATCCAACAGAATTCCAAACAGCAAAACAAAGAAACCCTTTAAAAAGATCAATGACAGCTTGGTCATTAAACAAGCAATGTAATATAATCAATTCAAATGCATGGATTAATAATCTCAATCACTTAGATGCACTTCCCAAAATTTAAACGTATTCTCAAAATAGTGCCTCAAACCCTTTGAGCACTAACAAAGTAGTATCCACGCTAAAGAAATGCATTCTACTGGGGAGTTTTTACTGCCCTGTTCACCCTTCCTTAACTCTTCTCATGAGTTTCTACTGCCCTGTTCACCCTTTTTCAACTGTCCTAATGGGTTTCTACAGAGGTGCTCACCCTTCCTACACTATACTCAGTGGTAACTGCCCTGTTTACCCTTCCTTAACTCTTCTAAGGCATTTCCACTGCCTTATCTACCCTTTCTCAACTGAACTAAGGACTTTCTTTCAGTCTATTCACCCTTCCCCACTATACTAAAGAGTTTCGACTGCCCCATACAACCTTCCGTAACCCTTGAGTGGTGTTGATGTGTTTGTTACTCAGCGGTCTGGTGGACCCACCACAGTATTGTATTTTTAATCAATACAGCCATAACTATTTATGTAAAAATACCAGATGTTTAAAATATCACAAGTGTCCACACACACACATATACACACACACACTAACAGCAGGCCATGTAGGAGGAGAACAGAGTGAAGGACACAGCACCTCCACACTTTTACTCCCCACAGGTTCACCCAACACCACATGTGTAATATAAATGTGTGGGGGGTAAACAGAGTGAAGACACTGAAAATGGGTTATTTTATATGTTCTTCACAGAAAATGAGCAAAGAATCTGAGGATGAAATAATAATAAATCATAGCTTTTTTTCTTTTGGTAAACATTGAAAATGGGTCCCACAGACCTGAACGCCACAGAAGGGTTACTGTACTTTGGGATTTGTAATCACCCTATAAACGCTTCCTCAACTCTACTAAGAAATTTCTATCACCCATATGGTCATTTCCCAGTGTTGCAGTAGTTGTAAAACTAGGCGATCATTCTAAAGGTATAAACCAATCTTACCAATCAACGTAGACAGTGTTAAAAAGGCACATATATACACAATTACATTGCACAGGAATGAAAAAAAAAAACAAAAAAAAAACAAGGAAAATAGAAGCATCTGTGCACTGCGTTCTCTCCTAGGCACAGTGAGCTCGCTCTCACTGCTTTTTCAGACAGTTTGAAAGCAGTATGCATATGACTCCCATTTGTTTGACTACAGTGGCAACACTTCTAAACCTTAAACCCTAAATATATATTACCTGTAGTAAAGAACTGTTTGAGAGAATGAGTGAATGAAGTTACTGAGTGAGTGGTGCTTTTTGCCAAAGCAAGGACCACTCTATTCACCCTTCCTCAACCCTACTGAGAAACTCTTCTCAGTTGGAGGTGGAAGTTATTTGATCTCCAGCCCCGTAATCAGAAGTATTAACACAAGGCTGAAGATGCTGATCACAGCTGAGGACAGCAGAAAGCGACTCCAACATAAAATCTCAAAACATAAAACATGTTTATCAGGTGTGATGATGATAAAGTGTTGTGTGCACAATGATTAGCAAGGGGCTTAATATTGTTCCTTCTGTTGTCATTGTGATCATGGTGATGTTGGTGACGTATGTTATTTTTTTCCCCATTATTGACACCAGGCTTGCCTTTGTTGACTTCACCCTGTATCATTTTATAAATCCTACATCTGAAAGTGGGACAATCTCTCGTTACTATCAGCAACACTGTATAGTCAATCCAGTTTTAATGCAAATATTTAGCATTTATCGTGTCAGTGCACACAAATGAAGGAGAGCTCTCTGTTTGGTGACAGTGTTGTCGAGATTTTGAGTGTTTTAGGTTGATTTGTACAGGTGATACAATGTTGTGAGAAATGCTTTCACTGTTTTGAGAATTGCACTTAGGAGTGCTGAAAATGTGATGCTTCAAGAAATGCATCTAAGTGATTAAGAACAACTGTAATAAACAGAGAAACAAAATCCAAAAAAAAACAAAATGCTTTTACAGTAATTATATTAACCTTGGTACCTGCAGTAAATTGAGGAGTGCAAACACAATGTGAACTCCTAAATCAGATGTCACCATGGTCCCGATGCCAAATCCCCAGGTCAGACCAAAGAGAGGGGTTAAAATGGCCACAAATTTGGCGATCATCATTAAGGCATGTTTCTCATCTGGCTGAGAGACGTTACCAACTCCCCTCCTTAACATCTTATATATCACCACAACAAGCACCAGGAGGTTTATAACTATAATGGTGAGAGCAGGAATCACAAACGCCAGGAGGGCCTTAGTTTTGAACCAGTTCAGCCAACAGGCATTCTCTTCCTGGATGTATCCTCCACCTCCAGCTGTTACTGCCACAGTGATGACAGCTATGAGTAATGGGGCCCCATAGCCAACATTGAATGCTATGACCATCATAATGGACTTAGACATTCTAGCAAACACCATAATGGTCCGGTAGAGGAGCAGGAGTGCTGAAAGTAACATCCAGAAGAAGAGAGCAAGGTAAAAGAAGTGCATGAAGAACGTTGCTGCACTGCAGGGACCCACTGGTGTCTGTTCTCCGTCTTTAACAATAGCTGCTCCAATGATGAAGCATATGTCCGCAATCAGGAGGGACAGAGCGATGTTGACTATGGAGACGTGGCGCATGTAGGATGTGTCATTCCTGGTCAATGGCTTCCATACGATGATCTCAATAATGAGGGCCAAAATTAAGCAGATTATCGAAATGCCAACACCAATAAAAGGTATAAAGGCCAAAACAAGATTATCCACAAAAAATGGCGACATCAGGATCGAGAATGAGGTTGTGTGACTGCATTCACACTTAAACTTGCCAATTTGTTTCACTAAAGGCTTTATTTCACATCCAGTTGAGTCCCATCCTCCATCCCCATCCAAAAGACTGTAGTTCCAAAAGACACACTGAGGGTTTCTCAGTGACTCATTTTTAATATCAAAAGTAAGAGAGATGCTGTAAACTGTCTCGTTCACAATGATTGCAGCCACATCTCCATTGATTGAAGTGTCATAGCGTGCATTTCGAACAGGTAAGACATTGTGAAAAGCTGAGAAAACTATGGTGGTGATCAAAGTCTGTCCACTAAGCTCTGGAATATCTATCTGTGTGGTGGAATTTACGCCAAATGTTCCAAAAAATGGACCAGAGGTTTTAGTTCTGTCCAGTTGAGTGCTGTTTGTTGTTATTCTAAAACTGTCATCTGTGAGTCTGCCTCCAATTTCCTCAGTTGACTTCAGAAGTTCAGAGCTCATAGTCTGTGTTGTATACATTTGGTTCAAATGCTCCCATGCTGGCTGTGCTGATATTGATGAAATGACATCAGACGTTCTTAGGAAATCCTTAAAATTAAATTCAAATAGTATAAATTAAATACAGCACAACAGAATCTTCTAGTTTTTTAGGGTTAAATCAACTAAATGAAGAGCAAAAGCAAACAACCTCTAGATGATTCAGAAATTAGACACCACTGTTTGGATCCTCTGCATTTAATACAAAGCAATGATTAACTTTAACTGTAAAATTTAAAATACAACAGAAGAAATAAACTTTGGTAAAACATATGCTTACCGTCATGATGGACTTGTCAACTATAAGTAATTGTGAGACAGTAGCAATTACTTTCATTAGGTTGACAACTGTTAAGACATTCTGTTCAGACTCTGTTATCTTAGCAGAATTGGATTCGGTGGCATCCCGGAGGTCAGCTGTAAACTGTGGGACGTCTGCAACTTGTAAATTCTACAGAAAAGCACAATGTTTTGAAACATTTTATCTGAGCAATAGTTATTTTTTGTATGGAAAATAAACAAACATTCAGAGAAGAATCATACTACCTCAGATTTGTCTATCAGTTCTTGAAGAGCACGCAGGATGCAGTTATCTTCCACAATCTTCCAGGTACCTTTGTCTGTTGTGTTGGATGTACAGAGAGCTGTCACAGTGCCAACGCTATCCGCATCACAAGAACCAGTCTGTAGGTCGTTTATTTTTCCAGCTCCAAATTGTTTATCGTAGCAGTACAAACCTTCGGGTGAGGGTGGGGTGGGGGGGACACAAAAGTTTACACAAGGTGGCAAAAAAAACTGTCTAAAAATGATTATATCTAAGGAGTCAGCAGATAACTCACTTTTTCCTGTTGCAGTAATTCTGACGCGGTTTGTATCAGAAAGGTCTCCATTGAGGTCAAAGACTTCCCATAGGAAAGTCACAATTTTGTCCCCGTCCTTACAGTCCGCTTCACTGAAACCTGGGTACGGATATGAGCTGCAGCCTATCGTTGGGTCTGTGCAAAGAGTAAATTGCTTTATGAAGGCAAACCTTTAAAATCATTAGAGGGTTACGGAACACACGGAACAAAAAAAATCTCCTCACTCTGACAAAGGCTTTATTTTTTACAAAACCACATGGAAATTATTGGCACCCCAAGTGAAGCACATTTATATATTTATGTTTCCTCTTGTTTTAAATCTATCTGAATGTTCTGGAACTCTTTCGAGCTGTTTTTGCTCTAAATGTCCACAGAACTTTATAGGATACATGGCATCATCGGTTCAATAAAGTAAAAGGAGATTTTAAGTAAAAATCTGGCTGCCACTGCTTAAAAGCTAAAACTAGGACATTGCTAGATCCACAACACACTTTCAAATTTATAAAAAATGGTTCAATGTTCACCGAAGCGTTAGACTTAGTCATCCCAGTCCCTTCACATAACCTGCTTTGAAAACATGAGGAATGAGCCGAGCAGAGCAGAGGATCTGGAGAGGTTTCAGGGTTTCTCACACACTAGTTAGAGTTTGGCAGTGCACCCAAGTGTATGGACATCTGCCTTAGTATATTCTGATCCATTTAAAAAACATTTAGCATTTTATTCATGTGTTTTGAAAAACAGTGTAACTTCATTTTGACTGCTTCATGTTTGCAGCTCAGGTCGGCGGATAGGGAGAGAAACTGAACGAGACAGCAGCAGTGAGAACAGCATTTGCAGAAAGTTGGCTAACTGTTACACTACCAAGGTTGTCCTGGCTGAATTTGCTTTCTGATATAGCTGTTGTCGGATGAAAACGTCATATCTCCATTTTTGATATGACTTAATTTGAAAAAAACTGTTGCCCTTTTTCATTGTCTATAAATTTCATGATGAATGGACTAAAAGAAACGAAAAATTACTTGGAAAAAAAGCCTGGTTCCATTTTTTTTACATTAAAAGTAAAGTAGGTTTCTTCTTTCTCCTATAAAGTTACCATTTTGGAGATATGAAGTTTTATTCCGCCATATGTATGTATGTGCGTGTGTGTGTGTATGTGTGTATATATATATATATATATATATAAAATGTGTGTGTGTGTGTGTGTGTGTGTGTGTGTGAGCTGTTTGTGTGTGGGACCTGTTAGCTTCTGTGGTCCAGATGAAGTGATCAGGCTCCACTTAGTCTTGTAGCTGTTCTCAGCGCAGCACTCCAGTGTGATTGGTGATCCATCACAGTACACAGCTTTTGAGGTGGTCACTCTGATATTGGGCAATGGCTGAATTACCATCCTTTGCCAGATTATGTAGGGAATTGAGTTTAAGGTCGTTGTACATGCGTATTTACCTGTGAAGGCAAAGAGAATACAATGAGTAAAATAACTCGTTATTATCTGCAAGACAGTCCATCACTGCAGTAGCATTAATATGAGCAGAAGCACAAGCTTTTACTGCAAAGATCATTTCCTCTTTTTACATGTCAGCTGTTTATTCATAAAACACTAAACAGTAATTAACATCAGGTAACTTGATAATGGTAAAAGTAGCAGAAGTATATTAAAAGTATCTTGTGAATTAATCATGACTTACCACTGTCCTGATCACTGGTGCTTTTCACGGTGAGTGTTTTTCTGTCAGCACTGATTTGATATTGACTAGGATCTACTTCTGTTGAGATGATTTTATCATTGAAACTCCAGGTTATTCCTCCAGTACTGAAGGCTGGAGGAACACAGGCCAAATCCATATCTTTGCCAGGGTAAATGTTGCCTTTGCGTGGATCATATAAGCCATTTTCCACTAAAAAATAAAAGTCATACAGAGTCTGTTGTTTAATCAATTTACACGTGTGCTAATATTTAAACCATTCGTTTTTCAAATTATTTCAATTACTGCTTACTGTCTGAATGTCAGTGTTAGAAATAAAAATATAAATGCACCGTCAAGTAGCAGAACATTTTACAACAAAATCTTACAACAAAAAAAAAAATTTTTTTTTTTGCATTTTTAATTGTTATTATTACCTTGAAATTTTACAGTTGTGCATACAGTGTATGACTTTAACTTAACTTGTTTATGTTAGAAGCTTGTTATTTTCAACTCACAGCACAAAGTTTGATTAAATGTTTTAAAATCTTTCCACTTATTAGTACATATTTATCACAGAGTAAATTTATAATACTTCAACTATTCATAAGGTTTTGATTTTGACTAATTATCTCATTAATGTAACCTGTAAACTGGTTTTTAAAAAGCACTTTTGTTTTTCATGGCAAACTACAAAACAATAACAAAACTACAGGCAAAAATACACAATTAGTTTGAGGAGGTACGCAATTTTAATTTCTTTTAAAATTTGTGAAAATTTAAAATAAAACTGCTGTTTTATTGTAATAAACTGTTTGTCAAGGGGGATGACAAAATGACAGTAATGAGCACTAATGTTATTTAACATGAATATAAAAAGAATATGAAACAGGCAAAAGAAAATCAAGCTGATATTAACTGAATCTGACTAAACCTACGAAACGCAATATAAATACATGCTATTTTCATAATTCTCAAAGCAACTGTTTAGTGAAAAAATAAAATACAATTTCTGTGTATACACCAATCAGGCATAACATTATGACCCTTGTTTCTACACTCATTGTCCATTTTATCAGCTCCACTATCATCTGGCTTTACATCTACAAGGTGGACTGACAAGCTAGGAGTGTCTAATAGAGTGGACAGTGAGTGGACACAGTGTTTAAAAACTCCAGCAGCACTGCTGTGTCTGATCCACTTGTACCAGCGCAACACACACTAACACACCACCACTACATCAGCGTTACTGCAGTGCTGAGAATGATCCACCACCTAAATAAAAGTTATACTTATTTAAATTTGCAGAAATATTCTTTCTACATCTTTAAAAATTTACGCTAGTGAGATTTTGGGTGAAAGTTTTGTTAAATTGAAATGTAAAGAAATTTTAGACAACGTTCCAAATATATGCATGATCCATAAAATAAGAGCAATGGGCTATACATTTATTTTAAAAATGCTGTTTTTCTGCTGATTTTTTTTTTTTCCATTTATTTAGCTTGTATGTTAGATTTTATCAGTTCATGAGAATGACCCATTAGTGTAATTACTATGAACTTCTGAGAATGAAAAAAAGTGTAAAAGAAAGAAAAGTGAAAAAACAACCTTACCAGTTTGAGCAAAGGAATCTGCACTCACTTCATATCCGTTTGCACTGAGAACAGACGCTAATTGTTTGTTTGTTGCACTAAAATCAAGTGTATCAGTTGTTGTTACAATAGTGAAGTCTGTTATCACACTGCCAGGCCTGATAAAAAAAAATTCAGAGAACATAATTTAGAACATAACAACATAGAACAATTGTGTGATCAAAACCACACGTTTGATTCAAATCAAAACATGGTGCATATTTAGAAATGTTCAGTTTTATCTATGGTTTCCAAATTCACAGTTGTAATGGTTGTGATTAACAGAGACTAATTCACTAACTGATTCATTGACTTTTGATCTTTCTTACTAGTTTCTTAATACTTTTTGTGTGTAGTAAAATTCAGTTACCTACAGTATTTACTGAAAATCTTTCTTGGTTATCGGGGCAAACAAATATCTTAGAAATTAGACCTCTAGTAAACCTATTTATGATGGTTAAACTTTGTTATGTAAATATAAACAGTCTTACCTGAACTGAATAACTTTTGCAGAACCAGCTTTGTATGAAGAAAGTTTGGCACTGTAAGCACTGTCAACCTGAAAAAGACTTTCACTATTATTACAGTTAGGATTTGATAGATGTGTTAAAGCACATAAATATATGCCATACTTACTGAACTCGTGATGTCTCTGCTGTACTTTTGGTACTTTTGACTGTTTTTGTCTGTGTGTGAGTTGTCAAACGTTTCATCTATGGTCAGTGATAAAGTTATAGTGTGTTCTAAAAAGGAAAAAAAAAGATTTAGAGTGAAATTAGAGTGAAATCAAAGGAGGAGGACAGAAGAATGTTGCCACTCAAATTTAAGGACATCTAAAATATTATTCTCTTTCAACAAGAATTCAGTATCTCACTACAGGAAATGGCTGACCACGGAGGCACCAATGACACCACGTCTGCTAGTGCCAACAGACAGACCAATCACAAGTGTGATTTTTTTTATTTACATAGCATCATACCATTTTTTGGAATTAAGGTTTGTAGAGCTAAAAAGTGCACCTGTGTGGTAAGTGGACCTGATAAAATGGACAAAAGTGGAAAGAACTTAGAACTTGGTGGCAACAATGCTTCTCAAAAAGTTGGGATGGGGCAACAAAAGGCTGGAAAAGTGGTACTAATAAAAAAAAAAACAGCTGGAGGAGCAACTCACATGACTGAGTATAAAAAGAGCATTTTAGAGAGGCAGAGTCTCTCAGAGGCAAAGATGGGCAGAGGTTCACCAATCTGCAAAAAATGCATCTAAAAATTGTGAAACAATTTCAGAAAAATGTTCCTCAATGTAAAATTGTGAAGACTTTGGATATCAGACCATCTACAGTCTGATCCTTGTATGAAAGGGACAAGGCCGACAGTGACACTGCATTAAAAACAGGCATGATTCTGTACTGGAAATCACTGCATGAGCTCAGAAACACTTCCAGAAATCATTGTCTGTGAACGCAGTTCGTCGTGTCATCCACAAATGCAAGTTAAAGCTGTATCATGCAAAGAAGAAGCCATATGTCAACACAATCCAGAAACGCCGCCGTTTTCTCTGGGCCAAAGCTCATTTAAAATGGACTGAGGCAAAATGGAAAACTGTTCTGTGGTCAGATTAATGAAAATTTGAAATTCTTTTTGGAAACCACAGACGCTGTGTCCTGGGAACTCAAGAGGAGAGTGACCATCCAGCTTGTTGTCAACGCACAGTTCAAAAGCCTGCAATTTTGATGGTCTGGGGCTGCATTAGTGCCTATGGGGTGGGCAGCTTACACATCTGGAAAGGCTCTATCTACCTTGTCTCTTGTTTTCTTTCATCTTGTAGTTTGGTTTTGTTTTTGTCATGGATTTGTATGTTCTTCAAACTTCTGCAACTCTGGACTCTAATTGTAACTCGAATTTCAATAATTTCAATAAAAGCAACTCACATTTGCATCCTGCCTCCTTGCCTCCACCGTTACACTAAGATTTTAATGTGGAATTTATACTTACCTATTTTTTCTGTCGTGTGACTTTCTGTTGTGAGTTCTCCATCAGTGTAACTCATCTGAAATATAATTAAATGAAAGCTTATTAGAGTACAGCAAGGTTGTTACAGTAATGCTGCGCCTGCAATAATGGAGCCAGAAATAAGGCAATTACATACCAACTCAGTTACATACAGGCGCATGCAAACGTGTGGGTGTCCCTGGTCAAATTACATGTTTTGTTGATTCTCTAAATAAGAATAATACATTCTCTACCGAGAACACACTTCTGCAGATCATAATACATAATTACTGGTTATTTGCTGAATTTAACTAATTAGAAACTAGGCCTGTGCAAAAGTTAGAGCATAATTTGCATTTTATGTTTTATTGTTTCCCAATATGTTAAACTCAGCAAATAAACAGAAATTGCTAAATGATATTCACAGAAAATGCTGTATAAATCTGTGAATGATGTGTGTTTATTTTCACTTAGAAAATCAACTAAATGTGCAGGGAGGTTGAAATGTGTGGCATACCACTGTATGAGTTGTTATTGGAAAACTACTAATACTTTTTTGAAAGATAATGTTACTCAAAAATGTTATAATATTGGATTAAACAACCAACCAACCAAACAAACCATGGGAAATCAACCTTAACGCAAAAAGTATTTTATATAATATGCCATGAACATTAACAAAGGACTGGCAATATTCTGAAGAAGCCACTAAGACCACACCAGGTGTAGCTACCCAGCTACTGTGTCAAGCCACTTTTTCTGCCCCACATTTAATTTTACATATAATTAAATTCACTCTGTCATATCACTGAGTTTACACTGAGGTTAGCAATGTTAGCTAATAGGGTTAGCTCCTATTCCCATCAGTACATGGAAGAATGACAATGAAATTGACAAAAGTGTTTTTTAAGTTTAATTAACATTGTTTTCAGTCAGCTAGACTAACACAGCTCAGTAAATTCTAACTGTGTGTGTGCTTTATTTTAATGTTCAGCCCCAGCCCAGCTTTTGATAGCTGCTTCAAATATAGTTTAGTATAGAACTCCAAATTCAGATAAATCCTACATTTAACAGAGATGAAAATAAGGTATAGCTTAAATCAGGCCTGAAATTTTGGTCCTAAACCAAATACAAAACAAGAACTTTCTGTCTGAGCCTGGCCTGACCAGAAACACATTGTTTTGAGTCCGAAACTGGCCCCACTCCATCAAAATTCTGTCTGAAGATGACTTGAAGAGGTCCGTCATCAGCCAAAGTGGCGAATAAAACCTGATAATTAAAATGATAATGCCAGATAATGCCAGTTTAAAAAACTTGCATGCTGAATAGTGCTAAAAAAGCAAGAGGTTAGCCGTTACCTGTTTAACCTAAAAATGTTTGGAACATTATATATTACATATTATGCAGTACAAATTCAAAATGGTCATATATTTTTCAAAAAACAATGAAGTTTCTCAGTTTCAACATTTGATCTCTTTGAAGCATTTTCAATGAAATATAGGGTTTAAATGATTTGCACATCATTGCTTTTTATTTACATTTTTCACAGCGTCCCAACTTTTTTGCAAATGGGGTTGTATTATAAACAAGTGACAGTAAATATTTTTGTCAATCTAATTACTTCAAAAGTACTTATTTTATCAATAAAAAAAATCTTATTCAAAAATGCCATTTACATTTCAAATGATGATAGATTCAAGATCTCCGGAAGAAAAAAACAACATACAGCATATGTGACTGTCTAATGTAAATACTTTGTGATTGTAATTGATCAAAATATGAAAAAGATGCATATAGTATATGCATATATAAACCCTCAAGGTTTTGGTCTCTCCCCATTCAAAGAGTTTAAGAGTCATAAAAAGAGTCTTTTATGATTGGAAATAACTGTCCGGTGGTGTTACCATGATGGCCACTGAGTGAATAGATTTTCCTTAGAAAGTTTACACAGAAAAGAACATAATCTACGTAAGTATGGTGGGGGATCTTTGATGTATTTGGGCTGTTTTTTCTCCAAAGGCCACATGGTAGTACACATGGCATTGTGAACTCCATGAAGTACCACATTTTAAGTGAAAAATCTGGCTGTCTCTGCCAAAAAACTAAAATCTAGAGAAATTTTGAGGATCTTGTATTTCTTGTATTCTTTAATGTAATCAAGCAAAGTGAGGTTGCACAAAGTTTCAAATGGAGGGGTGCCAATAATTGTTATATGTGGTTTTGTTTATGTTTTTTTTTCCCTAGACTAAATTTACTTCAACTAAAGCTTATTGTTCTCTCATATTATCAGTTTGGGATTAACCACATTAACCACAATGGCATTTTTAATGGGCTTTTTTTACTCATTAACCAAGGGTGCCAATACTTATAGAGCTTACTAAATGTGTGTATTGGATCTTTACATCCCTTTTTCATATTCACTACACTTCTCTAGTTCATTAAGTCATTTCTACTTATAATAGTTCAGTGTATAAATACTGTTAAATGTCTTCCTCTCTCTGGTTTGTGACTAACTAATTTAATGTAAATATTTAAGTAAAATCATGTAAATGTGTTTCAGAACATAAATACTGTAACACAAACTTTCCCTCTACCTGTACAGTGACGTCTGTAGGTTCAGGCAGTCCTTGTGAGTCCATCACACACATGTTCATGAGCAAAATGGTAACAAATCTCAGCAAGTGAGTTGATGTCCCTGTAAAAGTCAAGGCGAGAAACTAAACATTTGTATTTAATCCAAGTAACAGCAGAAATATAAGATGTTTGGTTGGCATTATGTAACAGGTAATACTGCTGTTCTTTATGAGCATGACTGGGGTTTCCAGGCAAGCACAACCTCGCTACACCAATAACTGTTCTTCACTCCTCACTTTCACGCATCCGTCGAGCTCTCAGAGGAACCCGGACTCCATCTCCCAGAATCCTCTGGGAGATCACATGACTGCAGAGCTTCCCTCACACTCTGAGTCTAACTCGGACTCCATTGCCCAGAGTTCTCTGGGGAATGACTCCTGACCTTTTCTCACGCTCCTATTAGCACTCTAGATCTCCAGAATATGTGTCTAACACAGGTGATGTGTGTCACCTGTGTTATTGGTCATATGACTTTCATAGTTTAGTTTAAAAGCCCGGGCTTTAGGACGAGATAGTTGTGAGATATTGTTTGCACTAGTGAACTACTGAGCGCTATATTGATTCTGTATCCTGTTTTTGACCATTGCTTTTGTTCTTTCGACTTTGCCTTTTGCTCTGCCCTTTGGATTGTTTTGCTGGATTCTTCTGATTCGTGTTTTTGACCTTTTTGCCTGTTCTTCGACTACATCTCACATTGTGTTATGTTTGTCGTTGTGTATCTATTGTGTATTTTGGATTTGACCCATGCATGTTTTTTGACTAAGAACCTGGACTTTGATTCTGGAAGTAAAGCCTCTTTTGTATTTTCAAACCGCGAGCGTCTGACTCTTGTTGGCGCCTGTGTTGTTGTAGCTATCAATGGCTTAGGAACATCCCTAAACACTTTATATTACTGTTCCTGATCATTATTAACTCCTTATGAAGAACATAGTAACACATTGTTCATTGATAATACGGTATTGTGTGTCTTTATAATGTTGTTCCAGAAGATCTTTAATTCCTAGTAATCATACCAAGAATATTCAAAGGCTACGTTCACATTACCTGGTTGAAGTGGCAGAAATCTGATTTTTTGCCCTAATGCGACTCAGATCTGATGTTTTCAGGGCTGTGTGGACACAAATCTGATCTTTTCTAATCCGACCTGAGTCACTTTCATATGTGGTCCTAGATCGGATACGTATCCGATTCGTGGCCATGCGACCTTAATGTGACACTCAGATCGGAATTCATGTGCTTTTTCTCCACTGGGCGTGGCCATCATTCAGCGTTACCATGGCAGCATCACCGAACAGAAGTTAAAGCCTGTAAACGGTGAAAAAGAAACACATCTCACCTTTTTCTCCTTCGTCTCGCTCCAATAATGAAGCTGAGAGCTGATCAGAGTTAATTATCTTCAGCGAAGCTCGTTCTGCTCGTTAGTCTGTTTGCTGATGATGCACGTGATTCATTCACGTGACGTTACTAAGTAGGATGTGTCATTTTAGGACGCCGGTTCGTTCATATTAATGACAGATTTGAATCACTTACTTAAATGAGTGTGATCCATCGTGTCAGAGAGATCAGATTTGAGCAAAAAATCGGATTTGAGAAATGAGGCTTGTAATGTGAACGTAGCTAAAGAACCCTTTGCATGATTAAAGGGTTCTTTGCATCGTGGAAGTGTTTGTTTTTCAGATTGAGAACATGCTGTAGATTGTTCTATATAGAACCTTTTTGAAAAGGGCTCTATATAGCACCAAAAAGGGTTCTTCTATTATAACAAACCTGACATCGTAACAATAGAAGAACGCTTTTAAATGATTGACTAAAAAAAAATCCTTAACGCTACATTTGCAGTCTGCTAGACTAACACAGCTTAATAAAGGTTTAGCCCAAAACAAAAACAGGTTCTGACAAATGCTACGGTTAACAGAGCCGACATAGGTTGAGAAAGATTATTCTCCATTTGTTAAGACCCAATTTATGTTCGACACATATTAGCATTTGGTAATGTGACTTGAATCTTTGGACGTCCTCCTACTCTTTTACCTGCTATGGCTGGTAATCTATGCACTATTCCAAGCCTACTTTTCATTATGTCATTAATTATTAGTCCTCCACTTTTCTTTCTTTTTTCTTTTTTCTCCTTTTTAGGTTGGAGCAAATATGGTGAGTACCCCCAAAAAGCTGTGATGTCAATACCACATCCCTACTTCCTGTTAAAACAAATGATTACTAATTATTCAGGATGTTTTATTAAAAATATTTGCATTGCCGCAACTTAAACTGAATTAGGTCTGGACATATCTATAATTTGTGTACGCCTCAACATGCTTTTACATGGGTTACTCAGATGAAGACTGATCTGTTTCTGGAGTAAAATTAACCCATCTTGCTGGGTTAGATTAACCCAGTGTCACTTTGCTGTTGACAACTTACTAATTGTGAGTAAGCAGACAAAAGAAGAATATAAAAGTGATTTTAATTCCTGAATCTGGACTGAAGTACATCTTTGACACATATCATCTGGAGCCACCCACATGGACATTTTTTAACCTTGCCAAATCAATTGGATGCAAATAATTTGATTTACTATCTGCATATTTCTAATTTAACCTAATGATGTTGGGTAACATGGTTCTAAAATAGTTTATCAAGCTCTCTTAGGGTCTAAAACAAATCTGAACCATTTGCCTATTTTGAAGTTACATAACAAAAATATAATGACAATTACAATTGAAGTTGTCTTACCTGCAGTAGCCATGCTGCACTTTCATATTATTGAATCCAACTGTTATTGATCTCTGGAATCTAGGGGGGGTCTCTTGATGTAGGATCCTAATATGAGGTGACCTAAAAACAAATTTGGCATAAATGTAATACTTGTTGCACTACACAAAAACACTAATAAATAAATAAAAATCCAGAAATATACTGATCAAAACTGTTTTCATGACATAGAAGTTTTTCAAAACTGTCTCAGAACGATACTGAGACATTGTGTCAGCTTCCTCTAAGTGACACTTATTTCTTACTGCCATATAATTTAATCTCAACAGCGACATCAGTACGCTAGCAATACATAACATGCATGCAGAGCACACATGAACACACACAAACACACCTACACACACTAACAGATACACAAAGTATACAAATACGTCTATTATGCATTACTCTTTGCCATGGACCATATCTCTTCAATGCAAAAAAAATAAATAAATAAACTGAAATTTACACCGGGTTCAAAAAACAAAAAATTATGGTTGCATTTAAAAGGAACAAAGCATGTTCACACTTTTCATGCCCCTGGAATAGAATTTGGGCCTGAAAGGATTAAATACTTGCCCAACATGTGAAACATCATTGGCTATTCATTGTGTACAACAAGCACTTGACTACTATAGTCTATGATTGGCAGTAAAATACTGAGCCAGGCTTTAAAAAAGACTGAACAACCAAAATCTAAGGAAAATAAAAATTTTATTTGAATATCCGTTACCAACTTCAAATGTCTTTGTTTAAGCTAGATTGTGTGCCACTGTTAGCTTGTTGCTAACATTTTCTTCAATAAATGAAACAGTCATTGAAAACTGTGTTTTGTGTTTCCTCATGTTCTCTTTGTCTTATATAACATTATTTATCAAATAAATACAACACTAGCACTCTTTGCAAAATGGAGTAGATAAAAACAGCACAAATATAGATTTTTGGGGGACCTTCAGTGGGACTAATATGTATGCAGTAGTTATGTTACACTTGCAGAGTTAAAAGATGTTCTTTCAGCCCGATTATAATACTTTAAGAATGATAACAATGACATGCCAAACTACATGTAAATACAGGATATGATCAAATAAACCATACAATCACCTAAAAGAAGCCAGTTTAGTTGATTACTGTATAAATATGATATGCCACAATAAATAATTATACGACTGCACTATTTGACGACTACTTTCACCGCTCAGTAATTATTGAACTTTGAATTCAAGTCGCATTTCAAATTTCTTTCATTCACAAAACTTAGAAAACTCAATTGAAGTCCATTGAAGGACTCACATAAACACATACGATACAGACATATAAGACAGAAAACATACAGTATTTGACTTTTTAGAGGAGGAATAAGTCTCTCAGTCTCACCTTGTTTCAGACCAAGCCCAACCAATGTAACTTGACACTGATGATCAGTTTATAGCAGGTATGCACAGTTGTGGATCTCACCTGCAGAACTAGTTTGGGTTGCTCATCTACTTCCTTATTCCTCTTTAATTGACATTACAGTTCATGAGAATGACTGTCAAATGAGGAAAAAGTGATTATATTTGTGATTTGGATTTAATCAGGTTTTGTAGTGATGTAAACCGCTGTGTCTATTACATGTTTGAATAGCATAGGACAGGATATATCATTTTACAGTTGCAAATTTTAAAAAGATATATGCTTCACTATATATATATATATATATATATATATATATATATATTTGGGAGGATGCAGGAGATCATGCCAAACCTCCTCAGCCGCCTGTTGTACCTTCTTCACCACCCGTGTGGTGTGTTCGGTCCATGTCAGATCCTCTGTGATGTGGACACCGAGGAACTTGAAGCTGCTGACCCTCTCTACAGTGACTCCGTTGATGGTGATGGGGGTGTCTCTCTCTTTCTTCCTGAAGTCCACTATGAGCTCCTTGGTCTTGTCGACATTGAGAAAGAGGTTGTTCTCCTGGCACCTTCTTTCTGTAGGCCTCCTTGTTGTCATTGGAGATCAGGCCCACAATTGTGGTGTCATCTGCAAATGTGATGATGACATTAGAGCTGTGTCTGGCTGAACAGTCGTGGGCGTACAGGGAATACAAGAGAGGGCTGAGCACACAGCCCTGAGGAGCTCCGGTGTTAAGGGTCAGTGAGGAGGAGGTGATGTTGCCCATCCTTACCACCTGTTTAGGATCCAGCTGCACAGAGAACTGTTCAGACCCAGATCCCAAAGCTTAATGTCGAGCCTTGAGGGCACAATGGTTTTGAATGCTGAGCTGTAGTCCACAAACAGCATCCTCACATACGCGTTCTTTTTGTCCTGTTGGGAGAGGGCAGTGTAAAAAGTCAGGGCTATTGCCCAGAAGGAGTTAAAGTCAAGTCAAGTGAATGTTTTATTTCTATAGCACTTTTCACAACAGGTGTTGTCACAAAGCAGCTTTTCAGAAAAATCCAGGTCTGAGCCCCCATGAGTGTCACCAGTGGCAACAGTGGCAAGGAAAAACTCTCTAAAAGCAAGAGGAAGAAACCTTGAGAGGAACCAAGACTCAGAAGGCGAACCCATCCTCCTCTGGTCGACAGCGGATAGCAAACAGCGTTAGTATAAAATATTAGAATACAAAGTTATAGTGACAACTAACACTAGGATGATCATTGGTGGATATATAGTACAGCCTTTAAGATAAGGCTACATAAATCACCTCCTTTTGTCTTTACTTTTGTCTTCTGCCCTACTAAGGTCAATTAGGCCAAGCCTTGCCAAGTGTTACCTACCAGCCTGACTTGTTTTTCAAGGGCCTGTCTCTGTACGGGAACCCTGCTGCTTTGTTTGTTTGTTTGTTAATAATTCTTCACTGTGTAAATAAGTTAGGACATTATTGATGTGACCACATAAACATTTTGAACGTTTAGTAAAATGTTTAGTGTGTTGTTTATATTTGGAATTGAACTGCCACAAAGCAGAACAACAAGAAAAACAAAAATATATATTTTTCAAAGATTCTGGACTTCTGGATTTTTTCCCAGCCATCCCATACAAAGAGAATGAGTTCTGCTATGGTGAAATAACAGCATGGTTAGAACGCTTCTCAACCAATCAGCTTGTGTGGCCAGAAGTAACTGTTGTGTGTGTGTGTGTGTGTGTGTGTATATATATATATATATATATATATATATATATATATATATATATATGTATTACTGTTGTTGGAAGAAAACCTTGTATCTCCAAAATGGTAACTTTACATCTTCCGTAGATATCAACACTGCAAAAAGCAAAACACGGCAGAAACTGATCTGAAGTGTTTTTGAGTTTTGAAATGATCAAACATATTTCCACTTGTGTTGTTACCTCGAAACTAGTTTTTGAGTCAAATAAAACCAGTTAAATTGCTTGTCATTATATATTTTATTTATTTATTTATTTTGGTTGAACTGACAAACCATTGTTTACGGTAAAATTAAATAGAAAAATATATGTGTGTACTATCATGTATGTAATTTTTACATTACTAAGGCCCAATCCCATTTCACCCCTTGGCCCTACTACTTAGCCCTTAACCCTCTGTCCCATTTTTTGTTGAGATAGAGGGGTAGGGTGAAGTGTTGGGGCTACATGACCCTCCAAATGGAGGTTTTTCAGAGACTCCAAACAGAGAGTTATGAGAAAAAAAGAAAAACCAGCAAGATGGCTGAACAAGAGACCACAAAAACCCACAAATGTGAGAATTTGTTAAAAATTACAATAACCACTGTTTTATCTTAGTTTAATGCCGTTTCAATGTATTATGATCGTTTTCTTCATAACAAGCATAAAAAATAATAGCATGCTGATGTCTCGGTAGATAGTTCAGCAGCCCAGCAGTTCTGACGCCTGAAGCGCCAGAATGGAACTGCTGCACCATTTAAGGTGGAACGGGAAAATTCAAACAAGAAGCTGGTGAATATCTGGCTTCAGCTTCATATCACTGAAGAATTAGGGGTGGGTGATAATAAATAATTGCCCCCCTCTTTGAAGTCATATGATGCCCTAAATGTAACTAAAGCCCAGCAGTGAGGAACTGAACTTTACCCTCCTCTGCTGTCACTGAAGACGGGCCGGGTCGACTACAGAGCAACGCTAGTAGCTGTTAATGAAGTTATTTTTTTTATTTATTTGAGGGTCCCATTTCGTAGGGCAAGATTTCAACCACTTCCACCTTGTAACTCAGTTCCAAGGGGTTAGGGTGACACTCGAAAACAAGGGGTAGGGGTAAAAAGAAGAAATGGGACTGGACCTTACCATTGTATTGAGTATTTGACTGGTAACTTGTGTTATACTGATCGCCTGTTGTGTTTTTAGTGCTGTCCTACTGACTGCAGTGCCAAGTTTAGAGAAAGAGATGAGAGACGAGAGCAGTTTCCTCATTGCCTTCATTCCTTTTTAATAAGCTTGCATAAGGTAGGCCAACTTTCTGTTTCAGCTTATGTAACTCACTGTTTTGCACTCTTCCTGTCAATCTTTGATACATGATACCTGTTACAGTCTGTTACCATAAACAGTGTAGATGCTACTTACCGAAAAAAAAATGGTGTCAATATAGCACTAAAAGGGTTCTGTTATTGTTATGAAATCAAGCTTGTAACAATAGCAGAACCCTTTCTGGTGCCATATAGGTTCTATAAAACCATATACAACACATTCTCTGTCAATCTGAAGAACCGTTCCACCATGCAAAGAACTATTAAAACATGCAAATGGTTCTTTGAGTGTCCATGGTTCTACATAGAACTACTGTCTTTCCCGAAGAACCCTTGAAGAACCATCTTTTGTAAGAGCTGACGACTCGCGAACATCAAGCTTGAGCTGTTGAATTTTTGTTTAGCTCTTCTCCATCCACAACGCCGAAGGTGTAGTTTAAGCTGAGATCAAGGTCATAAATGAGCACAAACACCACGATGAATGTAAAAGTTACACTTTCAAGATTGCTGAGCACTTTAATGCCCTCTATCACAAGGCCAGTGCACTGTGACTCAGCATCATCCCTGTTCCCATCTTTTCAAACTGTATAAATCCCCATGACTGTGCACTCAGTGTGCTTCTCCACATCACCAACGATAGAGGCCTGAACACAAACATAAACAATAACACTGATGTTAAGCCAAACAGAAACATGCACTCCTAGTTTATCAATGAGTGCGTATACATGCACTTAATAATCTGATCATAATCAGATTTTTGCAGTTATCTGATTATTCAAATGATCATGTAAAAACCATACCCCCCGAATTCCTCTAGAAACTCTAGAAATCCGATTTAGAAATCCAATAAAGAGAGCTGGATTTTAGCTCAGTAATCAGATTTCTCAGTGCATGTAAGCTCTTACTCTGATTTCTATCGGATTTCTCAGTCTGCACATGCACAAGATCAGACGGTGGATGTCGCGAGATGCAGCAAAACACTTTTGGAGCAACGCTGAAACCAAACATAAAATAAAGGATTTCAATATTCTTCATCTAGAAGATGAAATATGTATGTTCATGTTTTCAGGTAAAGTGGTGCAATGTTTAAAAATAAGCCGCGGCATGAAGTTTGAGTTTTACATTACGTTTATGTCACGTCTCCTTCTGTGAGTTTATTGGCTGGTTGCAAAGCAGAGTTACTATCTGACTCATGTAGACCTGGAGTTTCCCATTATCTGATTACTCAAGTGCATGTAAACGTGTTAATCAGATTACTAACAAAATCTGATTTTATGCAGTTATCGGATTATTGAGTGCATGTAAACACACTCAATGACAGGCCAGAGAAGTGGACAAGCAGAAGTCTGCCTGTTCAACGGTTACAGTCAAAATCAGATCTTAGCTGCTGATTATTTTGTGTCAATATTAGAAATATTAATGTGCCTATTTACTGATGTAATCGCCATAATTAGATAAGACCAAGATATGTCTTTGTTCTGTGGTCAGATGAGACCGAAATAGAAGTTTTTGCCAACAAACACCAGAGGCGAGTTTGACCTTATTTTTAAAAGAATTTTGGAAATTATGATTACTGAATGCATATTGTATTCAGACAAGGAATACAAACAAAGTGTTGCTGCCCTAACTGTGTGAAGAGTTTTACAAAGGATAGCTCAATACAGGAAATGCTTCTTAGGAACGACAAAAATCTCTGAATTACTGAATACACTGAGGACAATTTATTGAGTATTCAGCCATCACTACATTTTCAAAGTATTCTGCCCAATATTGATTATATGTTATTAAACACTCATGTCTTTCTCTTCCTATTTGCATTGTATTCATAAAATATTTTTGATATTTGTGGGAAATCTGTGTTTAGTGTTAGGCAAAAAGTTTTTAAACAGTTTGTAATGAGAAAGAAATGCAGTGAAATGCACTACATGTGTACCTTACCTCTAGTCTATGTTTATTTAACAAAACATTCACTGACTCAAACTAACAGTTGTGTTCTTAATTTCTCCCTGCAGCTCTCG